ATATTAGAGGAGGAGGGGCTGAATTATTGATGACACTGTAAAGCAATATTTCATGACACTGAAAGATGTTCATGATTAGTGGTATTTGGTGAACAAAAAGCAGGTCATAAACAGTATATATGCTCTGATTGTATCTTGTTTTTAAATGTGTGTCATGCATGATGTGTATGTTGTGTACAAATGAGTAGAAGTATGTTTAGAGGTTATCTCAGTAGTGGACTTTATATATTTTATTATATATTACTATAATATTTATTAATTATATTACAGTATATTAACGATATACTATAATACATACTAATTTTTATTATGTATTTTATTATATATTACTATATATGTGTTTATATTATATACCCATCTTTTTATTTTTAACTTCTTGGCATTTTTGTGAAAATTTTTCTTTATATGGGTCTTCCCTGGTGGCTCAGATGGTAAAGAATCTGCCTGCAATGCGGGAGACCCAGGTTCAAGCCCTGGGTTGGGAAGATCCCCTGGAGAAAGGAATGGCAACCCACTGCAGTCCATGGGATCACAGAGAGTTAGACATGAGTGAATAACTAACACTTTTCACTTTTCTTTACATGAGATTAAAAAGTGAAAAAATGTCTCGCAATACAGGAGTTAGGGAGTAAGAGGTACAAACTTATGTAAAAAATAAGCTATAAGGATATATTGTACAACATTGGGAATATAGCCAACAATTTATAACAATAAATGGAGAATAATCTTTAAAATTGTGAACCACTGTATTGTACACTTGTAACTTACATAATATTATATATACGTCAATTAAAAACTTTTTTAATGAAACAAATTTATCTTTAAAAATGATGCTATCTTTTAAAGTTCTATTCCACTGGAAAAGCTGTCTCCCTGAGACACTCATTTCATAATTAACTCTTACTTTTTATTTTTTAATTTGGGTCAGAATTGCATTTATAATCATCTCCAGACACAGGCATTTTCTAAAATGAGTGTTTCCCTCCTTTGGCAAAACCAACACTGCCCCATTATGACAGCAGCTCTCCCACCGCCCTGTCCCACCATCCTACTGGGCAAGAGCCTCTGGGAAGAACACATAAAGTCTATACCACCCTGGGAAAGAGGATCTGACCTGCATTTTCCTGCGGGTATGCGAGCAGCCTGTTTTTCAGAATGTTTAAGAGAGCATTTGCCATAAAGTGAATTTACAGTCTCCTAAGCCCATCAGGGCACAGGGGACAGGAAATCTACAGAAATGCAAAATACAGAGCTGACTACCAATCAGGAAGCAGAGGAAGGGCAGTAACGTGTTCCAGTCAGACGCCTCCACAGACACACCGGCCTGCCTCCATCATTATTTACCATCTGGTCTCTAGTTACTTTATTACCAAAAGACAGAAAAAAAGAGCCACGGATTTAACTTGCTCTGGCTTCAGAGACACCCCTATATACTTTAATACACTTCTTGGCCCATGTTGTGAGTAGCATTATTTACTGCTACTGCAATGAGGACTAGGAAGTCTGAGAAAAGAATGAAACTCATTTGCTTCCTTGAAAGGCTGAAAGGCCCTCAATCATCCATGTCTAGAATAAGATGCCCTCCCTTCTGCTGGGACTGTCTGTCCTCAGCCTTTACAGCCACTTCCACTACCACTTCTCCAGGGTGCGGCCTCCCCTATGTGACACAGATGATGCCAGACTTCCTAGGGAAAACACATTCTAAGGAAGAAGTATATCCATTCATTTTTGTATCCAGTGTGTACAATGTCACATTTTGAATGTTAGACATCATCTCACAAATAAGAAAAAGAAATACATTGGGGTTGAATAGCTTGGTACAGACCAGTTCTTTAGTTCTACAACTTAAAACTTAGTAGGAAACTGCAAGAATGATGGCTTTAGTGTATCTGGTGTAGGGAAAAATGGACTCAGTCATATACACCATCTCTTTAGACCAGAGCCAATCTTACAGATCTTTTTGGCACTTAACACGCCACATTTCATGATGACAGTTATCAGTGAAGAAATCACTTCTGATAAAACTATATGGTCACGCGCTGAAGTTCTCCTTTTATGGTTTTCTTCCAATGCACCACTTTTGTGAAGCAAATTTTAATAGTTTCAGCAGTACGGTGGCTCCCAGAAGAATCATAATAAAAGGTTTAAAAGAACAAAGAAAACATACTATCCTTAAGGAATTTCATGCACATTATTCTCACTCACTTGACACAAATACTCCTTGAGCATGGCACTGTTCTTTCTACTCTTCAGAGATGGATCCAGGCTCTTAGGATCACATAGCTAGTGTATCAAAGTGCTTAAATCTGCACTCCTATCTCCTAACAAGGCTATGTAAATTGATGAACTGGTGAAGCAGAATAGTCAAGTAGCTCTTTCCTCCCACTGGACCTAAAACATTAGAGCCTGTTACAGGCAAGGTATGAAAATGGTCTGCTTGCCTGATGTGCCTCATATCATCTTTCTGTATGACTTTTACAATCTGGGTAGAACTGGAATCTAGAACCTAGAGCCTCAGGTCACAAGGCAGAAAGGAAGAAACAACAAAGCCTGTTGCCCAACTGCATGTGTGCAATGCTATGAAGAGCCCCACCATTTATGATGAGTCAGGTATATGAACTTCCTGGAGCTCCTGGGGAAGTAGACAAGTGAACATGGCCTGACCCCCAAGATTCTTCAGCAACCTGTCAGTGCTACTTACTGATGAACTGAACCGAACAGACCACCCCTTCCCTGGCCATTTAAAGGTGGAGAAACAGAGGCTGAGAGATCAAGTGGTCTTTTCCGGTCCCAGAGTCAGCTGGTGGCAGAGGTGGGCAAGAAATCCCAACCTCCCAAAAACTCCAGATCTTCTAACTTCCAACCCTGTGCTCTTTCCAATAAGCTGCAGCCTGACATATATTACAGATGATGATGGCAGAAATCATAATTGCAGCCATCATCAGCTGGGCCAGGGTCAGCAGTAAATGTCTTATATGCATGATTTCATTTAATCTTCAGAATTACCGACCTACAATGTAGATGAGGAAACAAACAGAGGTTCAGAAAGATTAAGTAACTTCTCCAAGACTACACTGCAGGCAAGTAACAGAACTGGGGTAGAGCTTAGTCTCTCTGAAGCCAAAGTTTGTTGTTTACACCAAATTGCCTTTCTCTGCTCACCAGGTTTGGTGAAAATTTCAGTGATTAAATAAGAACAGCTGATATATCTGCCTACTATTACAGTTTATTCCATCTACTTTACAAAAGTAAATCTTGAAAGAACACAATTCATCCATCTGTCCTTTCTTGCCTCTTTAAAGCATCCTTGAGTTTCTCAGAAAGGTGAAAGGTCCTACTCAGAGTGTAAATCTGCTTTTGTGTTGCAAATGTGGTTTAAGGGTGAAAAGGCATGTTTCAGACATAAGGAAAATAAAACAAAATTCTTCTTTAAATAATGAAATTAAATCTCTTACATTTGGAGCACCAAGTAAGCCAGCGAATACTTAGATGTTTGCATGAGATGGACCCAAAGAGGTGGCTCAGGTCAGCCCTGAGTGAGCTCTATTCATTGCTCTCTGTATTTTCAGCACCACCTTTTTACATATTTATACTTAGAACGCTATTCTTAAAAACCAGTGCCTTACAACTGCTAAGAAGTCAGTCTTTTTAACAAGTTTCTCAAAGTCATCTGTATAGTTGTCTTGGCATCCTCAGGGGATGGTTCCAGAACTCCCTCAGAGATACCAAAATCCGTGGATGCTCAAATATAAAATGGCATATTATTTGCCTCTAACCTATGCACATCTTCCTGTATACTTTAAATTATCTTGTGTTCAGTTGTATATGACTCTTTGTGACTCCATGGACTGTAGCATGCCAGGCTCCCCTGTCCATGGAGTTTTCCAGGCAAGAATACTGGGGTGGGTTGCCATTTCCTACTCCAGGAGATCTTCCCAACCCAGGGAAGAACCCACGTCTCTTGCATCTCCTGCACTGGCAGGCAGATTCCTTACCACTGAGTCTTCTGGGAAGCAAGTCATCTCTAGATTGCTTGAAATACTAGTACAATGTAAATGCTAAGTAATAGTTTCCGCATGTAGCAAACTCAAGTTTTGTTTTCTGTAACTTTCTGGAAACTTTTCAAAAAAGTATTTTTGACCTGCAGTTGTTGGGAATCTGTGGTTGGCTGAATCTGTAGATGCAGAACTCATGGATACAGATGGGTGACTGTACTCAAACTCAGGATAACATCATGGGGAACTCAGTATCACTTGGGAAGATTTAACCTCCCCCAGAAAGCAGTTTTATTATCAGTAAAATGAAAGGCAATCTGAAATCCTTTTTACTCAAAAATTCAATATATTACTGCTGATTGATAAAGGAGTTCTGAAACTAACTCTTCTCTGTTCCTCTTTATTTGCTCCCTGCTTTTCTTCTGCTTCAGTTCCAGTTTGCTTCATTCAACCCAGTTTTTTTATTCACAGATGCTGCCTTATGCATCTCTTAGATTTATTAGCAGCAGCAGAAAACTATTTTTTTCCACTCAAGGAAATATATCATTTTATTACATATGAGAGTACAATGCAGAGAGCATTCACAAGGTGGAAAGGCATGTATGATAGATTGAAGAGGCATATTTACATGATTTAATTTTCCTTAGAAACCACAATGGTCATTTTTAGTGAAGTGATTCAAAATAGTTACCAATGATAAACTTAAAACTAGAGCTTCTGAAACAGAGCCACAAGTGTGACCAACATTGCTTCTCCAATCACTAACAAATGCTTTGGTTCTGTTGTGTTTTGTACTTTAAGATATGTACGTATGTACTTCACATACGATCAGGAATATCTTTCTGTCCATCACTTAGAAAGGTAATCCAAGATCAATTCATTCTAAAAGCTTTTTCCACTCTTCTAAACTTTCAACATAGAAACAGCAATAAATCAACATACACTTAAGCTGAAGTTCCCCCCTAGAGCACTGTAGTGACAGTACAGAAATGTTTTCTACTTTACCTGGGAAGAGCAGTGATTTTCCCCCATTTCTCCACACAGAATCTTCTTGGGCCATTACTGCCTCGGAGAGAAGCAAATCCTTCATAGGGAATGCTGGATGTGCCTGTAACGAACTATCAACCCAAGAAAACAGAAGGAGAAGGTGAAGCCAAGAGACCAGTCTCTAGGAAAGGCTGGCAGCATTCATATACAGAGGTCCTGGGGAAGAAGAGTATACTGCTCACTGATGGTAAAGCTCAGAAGATAAAACTATATAAAGATGGAATAATTATAATGTGCGAATTCTGACTAAGAGCTGGAGAATCCCAAGGAAGGACAGTGCATTAAAAAGGGAAAGGGGATGTGGACGATTTGTAGAAAATACAGCATCTTATACATGCTTTAACTTAGAAGCTTAAACCACGCATACTTTCCACTACAGATTAATAAAGTGGACATGTTAATTAACCTAAGTCTACTTAGCATCAGTCCTTGATCAATTTGAGGTGAATGAAAAACAAAAAGAACTTCTAGGCCTGCAAATTTGAGACTCAGATCTGTAATCCAAAGGAGCTAAGATCCGGCCTACTTGTAAGATTTTGTCTAAGCAAACAAAAGGCTTCCTCATGTCTGATATTTCTTTAGCTGCAACCAACAAACAATTGCCGTGTATAACTATAACACCATAAGAAAATAATGAGTTTGTTTTCCCAGTATTCTTTAACTTCAATGTTATCTCAAATTTGTGGAAAGTTAGGTGGAAGAAAAGAAGGGACTCTCTATCAAGGAACTGGATCATTTCTTGATAAAGGAGACTATTTCTTTCTGTTGCAGAGACGCTGGCCTGCAGAATACTTGGAGGGCCTCTTGATGAAGCGATCAAAGTGCCCTGAAGGCAGATGTTGTTCTGAGGACTCTTGGATGGCAATCGGTACTTCCTCACAACTCTAATGAGATGCTTGGACTAGTTAGAGATGTTCTGCATAGTGATGGAACCAAAGAACCATGCAATCAGAAGAGTCTGGAAACAGTGTACTCAGAATATGCAGATAAACATGGGATATATTTACTGAGTATAGTTAGCTATTATTAAAAATATGAAATTCCAACAATAATTAATGCATTAAAAAGATTAACTAAAGGCATCTTACCTGTAACAACCTCAGTCGTTGTTCATTGTTGAATCTTTCCACTGCAGCCCAGAACCACCGAATTACAATGTGATTGTCATGATATCCTATCAAACCAATCATGAAAGCCAGTATTACTTTGAGTGACACTGGCATGTCAACAAAAGACTCCCAGACATAAATCATCATCTTGGATTCGTTAAAGGTTATTTACAATTTTAGACCAAGGAATAACACTGTTAATGTGATCACATGAGTGTCAAAAGTAAAACAAAACACTAAATGGAACCAAGAAATCTGTTTCCATTTAGAGGTCACTAAATGAAGCTAGCAGAGAGAACAAGTGAGTTATCGTTAACCATACCATTTTTGAAAAATAATAGTTGCTGGTATTGGAAATGCTTGAACCTTTCGTTCATTCAAGAAATAATTTTCTACAGGAGTCTGAGCAAACTCCAGGAGATAGTGAAAGACAGGGAAGCCTTGCATGCTGCAGTCCACGAGGTCACAAAGAGCTGGACACAACTGTGTGCTGAATAACAAACCACTATGCCAAGCACTGTACTACGTCTGAGGGTTGAGGGTACAATAGCAAAGAAAATAGACCCTCACAGGGCTTCTGGTAAAGGAGAGAGACATAAATCAAATAATTACACAAATAAACATATATTGCAAACTATTTTAGAACTATATATAATGTTGATATTTTAAAATCAAATTACTTTTTGTTAACAAAAAGGGAAAATAATTATACTACTTTCATTCTTTCAACGTGTAAATTTCAAATAATCATCAACCTAAATGTTACTTTTATTCCACACTGTAGTAGAATTTAATAAAATGTCAACAGTGTCATCCCACAGGAGGATTAAGGGAGTAGCAGTGGATTCCAAAACCTCAGTGGAGAAAAATTAAGTTCAGAGAGAAGCTTGACAAAGATTACGGCACAGTTAGTGATTCAGACCAGCTGACTGACATATCCAAGTGTGCAGAGAGCAGCTCTAATTCTGAGTCAGCAGCAGTGAGTCCTGAAGAGAAGGTGGGTAGAAACCATTTTACTTCGAATTTTTCCTCACGTGGGTTTTGAGGGGACTCTTGCCTTACTGTTTACCATTTGATCAGTGATGCCCTTTGGAGGAGAAAGGGATCCAAATGAAGGGTAAATACAACTAGATTGGACACGGAAATCCAGAGGCTTATTGTCCTGCCTTTGGCAAAGATTAGCTATTTGGTGCTGAGAAAAGAGTTTTGTTATCTATAAAATAAGTGCATTGGCTCTTTATAGCTTTAAAGTTTTCTGACCCTTTGAACTGGCCCTTTTATGCCTCTCCTTTGCTGTCTGTGCCAAAACCATTTACAGAAGGAGGAGGAGTGAAAGTATCCTGTGGTATTCTCTACAAACAGCTGCCCGTGAACATACGGCAAACGGCAGCAAAGCCGCCCCTTCGTTCAATGCCAGCTAGCTGGGTTAGCAAACACGGCAACTGCACATCTTGCCCTTTGCCTGCCCTTCCCTCCCCCCAGCACTCTCTTCCCAAGGATTTTATTTGATAAGATTGACAATAAGCAAAGAAATAGGTACTTGATTCATCATAAACAGAGAATAAAAGTCTATCCTATGTAAACAGAAAAGTGGCTGATGTGACTGAATGTTATTAGAATCTCCTGAGGGTGTGTGTGGTGGGTAAAGAACGAGCTAATAGTATTTATGGTAACACGTAAGTTACATAGCATGTTGGAGAAATTGTATTTTAGTGAATGAAACTGGTTTAGTTAACAGTTATAACAGCCAAGGCCTATGTGGCTTATACAGAGGGCCGATTGGTAAAGACTTATTACAGCAACTGGACTTCAGAAATAGCAGCAATGGACACTGCAGTCTAATCCTGCCTTTCAGAGAAAATGGGCAGGCAAGGCCAGCCCAGGGCAAAAGTGATGGACTGGAAGAGCCAAGCATAAGCCAAAATAAAAGCAACTGAGCCAATGCTAAGGTATACTTTCACTCCGTAGTTTTAAAGTTTTTTTCCTTTAAATCTCTGTTTCAATTTACCAATAACTGGAGAACTGCTCAGCTCTAATTTTAGTCTGCTAAGTGATTAATTCGGTGACTTAAAGCTTGTATTCTTCACTCTCCAAGTTCATAATTACTGCTCACCTCTTACATTCTAAGTTAAAAGACAAAAGCAAAACCCAACTGTCGTTTGTCATGACTTTCTGAAGACTTAATAACACTACAATAAATTTCAGAAAATGTATTTGTTCTTTGCTTCAAAGTATTGAATAAAACTAACTCTAGGTCCCTTTCCAAGTATACTGATTCAGCAATCAAATCACAATGGCTTCAATGCCAACTGCTAATTGAAAATTTGTACTGATCTATAGAATGCCAGCCCTAAAGCTTCCCATCTGGTGATGTGTCCAGTTTTAAGCTGCTTTCCCAGTGGCTCAGCAGAAAAGAATCCACCTGCAAAGCAGGAGATGGAGGAGATGTGGGTTTGATCCCTGGGTGGGAAAGATCCCCTGGAAGAGGGTATGGCAACCCACTCCAATATTCTGGCCTGGGAAATCCCATGGACAGAGGAGCCTGGAGGGCTGCAGTCCATAGGGTCACAAAGAGTCAAACATAACTGAAGACACTGGGCACGTATGCAGTTTTAAGCTAATCTTACAGCAGTTTCCTTTTTGGTTGAACCTAATGTTTGAATTCTAAAAGGGCTTGTTCAATAAATTTGAAATCTGAGAACTGTATCTTATTCTATTCATGAGTTTCAACTGTGAATTACAACTGGTAAGTAGTTCAAGTGAAAGGTAGAAAAACTATGTTTGCTCATTAAGAAGTTAAGAGGGTGTGCCTCTTCAGGTTTGAGAATGAAGACAGAATAGGTGGAGTTTAACCAGTTGGATATGAGTTCCTTGATGCTTCACTAACAACACCATAAAACAATTAATTACTGTTCCTATGGTCACATTTCTTCACCAACAATTAAGACTTATGACATCCTCAGATGGTGCGTAAACAGTCCTCCTTCCACTTGACAGATGAGACAGCTAGGGGAAGCAGGGCATGTACCTTGCCCACGGTCTCAAAGGAGAGTGCGTCAGACCTATGATTAGAGTGCAAGTGCCTCTGCCTGTCCTGGATCCAGATCCACGTGCTGAACCACTTGCCTCCCTGTAGTCTGAAACTTAAAATCCAGCCACCTATAAGTCAAATTTCACCTCCTCTGTATTCTGTGTTGTTTCTCCAATCACTCAGGTCTATTTCAGCTGTGCCTGCGATGACCAGTTCTAGTTCTCGTGCATCAAAAACAGATACCAGCCTGGCATCCACCACCTGAGGAATAAAAAGAATACAGGACATGGCTTAAGAACCTGGAGAAGCCTCAGCCACAATTACACTTCATCAGAAAAGAAGGGCACAAGGAGTGTTGGGGATGCATGGATGTGTTCTGTGCAGGCACTTTTAAAACTGTGAAGTTCTCAACAAATGTATTTTTAGTACAAGGTTGATGAAATTTTCAACAGCATTTTTGTTTTATAATTGGTCACTAATTAATTCTTTTTTTTTTTCTCTTGGAGAAGATTCAGTGCTTCAGTCATTTCCATAGTTTATTTTTATTTTAGCTATGTGGGCTTTTTCACAAAAGAAGTCACATGAAATACTTGTAACAACTCATTCTGACCCTCAGATACTATCATTTCACATACCGGGCGTGAGATTTGATTACCCATATCTGAGCATGAGTAAGATGCATGACTTAAATGTTATTAGTGGTCATTAAACACTCAAATGCTATTTGAATTCAGGTCGTTTTATTTCAATGATTTCTTGTAACAGGGGAATAATTTTTTTTTTTTTTGTATTCTTGAAACATATAGGAAAAATCATTGAAGTGTTTAAATTGAATTAGCAACAGTGAATACAGCAAAGAGAAATGAGAATACGACATACATATGAAGCAGAGGGAGGCGGACCCAGGTCCCACTGGGCTCAGCTGAGGTCCGCACTGCAGCTGGCGGCCTTTACCTCATAGAAGCCGCGCACCAGGCTTTCTGTCTGTTGCACGACGCCCCTCTCAATCCTCCACTTCACCATCCTCTCAATGTACTCCTTCTTGTTCTTCTCTGTAACTGGGATGTTGGCACCCCCTGGTTTTAATTCTCGTTCAGTAATCTGCGATTAACAAACAAAAAGGCTGACCACAAAGCAATATGCTTGATGTTGTAAGACTAGCACTAGCAGTGAGCTGGCATCGGACGCTACCTGTCCCAGCCCTGGGCACATCTACAAGCAGGAGGTCAGCACCTGCTGAGCTGGGCACACAGTGGTACCAGGGAAAACAGGCGCCAAGCTGATGTCTGAGCACCTCCGTGGCTAAGTACATATGCGCCACAAGTGCTCCAGGGTAAGCTTTAAATCCACAAATAAATCTTCTAAATGAAACGAAGAGGTTTCAAATTCTGTGCCACTGCTATCTGAAGGTCTGACAAGACATTATCACAAATTTCTTTAGGATTCAGAATCAACTACATACAGAAAGCAAATATTTAGGTAAAGGTTTACCTTAAGGAAGCAGAATTACACTCAAGCAAATGTTAACTTGAGACATACTTCCCAAAATATGAAATTCAAGAGACCAGCCAGGTATTAATGTCTAACTAAGAATATTACTTATAAACCAACATACAATTTCTGAAAGAAATCTTTTAACCAACTCTTTCATCAATTCAAAAAAAAAGTGTTTTCAAGCCTTTGCCAAAATAGTGTTTACTTTCCCCCAGCTTCAAAACAATCCATTTTAGTTTTTAACCATGAATGAGAATTAAGTACAAGTGCCAACTGAATATTTTAATATTCAACTCTGCGGTAGCATGGATTTTTGAAAACTATATTTTATATCAGGTACATTCTAATATCTCATGAGGATATTTTATTTGGAAGTAAAAAGATTGCTTGAACATCACTCATTATCAGAGAAATGCAAATCAAAACCACAATGAGGTACCATTACACACCAGTCAGGATGGCTGCTATCCAAAAGTCTACAAGCAATAAATGCTGGAGAGGGTGTGGAGAAAAGGGAACCCTCTTACACTGTTGGTGGGAATGCAAATTAGTACAGCCACTATGGAAAACAGTGTGGAGATTTCTTAAAAAGCTGGAAATAGAACTGCCATATGACCCAGCAATCCCACTCCTGGGCATACACACCGAGGAAACCAGATCTGAAAGAGACACGTGCACCCCAATGTTCATCGCAGCACTGTTTATAATAGCCAGGACATGGAAGCAACCTAGATGCCCATCAGCAGACGAATGGATGAGGAAGCTGTGGTACATATACACCATGGAATATTACTCAGCCATTAAAAAGAATTCATTTGAATCAGTTCTAATGAGATGGATGAAACTGGAGCCCATTATACAGAGCGAAGTAAGCCAGAAAGATAAAGACCAGTACAGCATACTAACACATATATATGGAATTTAGAAAGATGGTAACGATAACCCTATATGCAAAACAGAAAAAGAGACTCCGATGTATAGAACAGACTTGTGGACTCTGGGAGAAGGCGACGGTGGGATGTTTCAAGAGAACAGCATCGAAACACGTATATTATCTAGGGTGAAACAGATCACCAGCCCAGGTTGGGTGCATGAGACAAGTGCTCGGGCCTGGTGCACTGGGAAGACCCAGAGGGATCGGGTGGAGAGGGAGGTGGGAGGGGGGACCGGGATGGGGAATACATGTAAATCCATGGCTAATTCATTTCAATGTATGACAAAAACCACTGCAATGATGTAAAGTAATTAGCCTCAAACTAATAAAAATAAATGAAAAAATAAATAAATAAATAAAAAGATTGCTTGTAACTCACAAATAGTTATCACTATCTATAAATTAAAATATCTTAATCTGAAGCTGGCATTATAATAACCTTTGTAACCAAGATTATTGTAACTGTACATAAATCTGGGATTAAACCACCCAACCAGCCACAAATAAATAAACATTTGATCTTAGTCACTGAATTAATCCTTCACCAACCAATAGTCTTCAATCACCACACACAATCACCATTATTCACACACAGACCTGCCCAAAAACTTCTTCGTTCACGGTGAACGTAAGGTCCAGGATGTCATGGATGTCGTTGTCTTTCATCCACTGCAGGCTCTGATGGAACTCTTCATCAAGGTATTCTAGATCACTCAGGTCACAGAGACTAAGATGACAGATAAAGAGAAGCAAATATGTAGGCATGGATATTAGCAAAAACCCAGAGTCGTTAAGAAACACACTAAGAATTAGTGACAAGTACAATATCAACTAAATAGGCAGTGATTTCTGGAATGTATTTTGTCAAAGTCAGCAACCAGAGTGGTGAAATAATTCAGAAATGTACAAAATTTTTAAGTCCTGATACGTAAAATGCTTTAGGAACCACACAATTTGTTTTATCCTTTTACAGACACAGAACTGGAGGTGCAAAGAGTGGCTGCCCATTTGCACAGCCACCCACAAGCAATGCCAGGGGTGGGACTGGGACTTGGGCTGGCAACTTGGGTCCAGTAATCTTTGGCTAGGTTAAACTATCTTAAATTATCATCTTCCTAATTAGAAATTCTTTGTACATTTCTATACTGTACTTTAACTTTTTTTTTCCCCCAAAGACTAGACTCTATGATCCACATTCACATATATCCCTTTCTTCTTCATGGTTCTTACTCTTTCCATGATTCTGAAAACTGAAAGCCACAGAATTGCTCTACAGTTTTAGTAGCTTTCTATATTTCTCTCTTCTTTCTTCATTGCTGACAGAAGTTCTACATGAGATGGAGCTACTGTTAGATGTCCCGGTTGTAAAGGTAGTAGCAACTGACTTGCTTTATTGTTTTGGAATTTCCTCCCATCAGCCCAGTTTCAAAGATGATTTTGTTTAGTTCAGTCTACACATGTGTGAGACACCAAGTATGTGCCAAACATCTTAATAGCTACTTGATAAACAGTTACTGCCCTCAAGGAGCTAATGGTCTACTTGGAGAAACAAAGATACAATTAGATAAGTTGATTTAAGGTGGTAAGAACCTAGGGTAGATAACACATTATTTGTGCACTTTTTTATATGTATGTTAAGCTTCAGTTAAAATAAAAAAGTAAATACAGGGACCTCCCACAGAAAACATGCAAGACATTTATTTTGACCTGGAAACGGATGGATTTTTCTGATTATATTTTTCATTTAGTAAGACAAACAAATTTCTATATAATATTTTATTGGTTCCATAATGCTTTGACATATAGGGTCTCCACCAAAATGTTACAGAGTAGGAATACCTATCTCAGTTTTACTGATGAGAAACTCAGCTAAGGAATGTTATATAAGTTGCCTGATGTCACACAGCCAGTAGGTAGCTGTGACAGAACTTGAAATCAGATCAACATTTAAAAAAAAATTTTTTCTCATTTTTAAGGTGAGAAAACTGCATATCAGTAACTAAGTGAAGATCAAAAGTGGCTGGGGAAAAGCTGTTTTATCTCCTGACTTCTTGTCCAGTGCAAATTCTACTCCTTCCTCTCTCCCACAATGGTATTACATTTTCTCCAGCAGCAAATGACATCTTCAGTTTAATCTGTACAGTTGATTTAAGACACAGTTCAACCTAATCCATGTAAACATTTGAAGATCAAAACTAATCTTTGGACAGTTTTTAAATAGATTATTTATCAAGCACTGTAAGTGCCAAGTGTTGAGGCTATGATACCTGATGTAAACAACCAAGCTACACAATCATGACCTGGAGATTTAGAAGAAGCTTTTTGGAGTAGATGATACCTATATTAAAATCTGCAGGATGTTTCAAGCTCAAGAGGTAAAGGGGAATGAATAAAAAGGAGAATGGGAGAAAAGAGAGGCAGAAGACAACCTGAACAAAGCACAAAGGGATGGAGTATACAGATATTTCAAGCCTATGGGCAGCACCAGAGAGTTAACCATAAGATGTCCAGAGAATGAGTCTGGAAACGTATCTAGAAGCTGGTCTTGAATGTCATTCTAAGGAGCTTGGTGACTCAGAACTACTGAAAGGTTTTAAAACAGGCAATGACATGATCAGATATGAGGTGTGACTTTAAATTGTTTATCTGCAAGTGGCTGTGTAGAGGATTACTTATAATGGGGGGTGGGGGTGGGTATCACTGGGTGGAAACCAATTAATAGACCACTACAGTAACCTGTCTAAAGTAAGATAAGGATTTTAGTTAGAGCACAGCTATCAGTGTAGACTGGGTATGTGTTTGATTGTGTCTGATTCTGCAACCTCATGGAATGTAGCCCACCAGGCTCCTCTGCCCATGGAATTTTCCAGGAAGGAATATAAGGGTAGAGAAGATGAACTTTAGAATTATTTAGGAGGCAAATGTGGAAATGAGTAAACCATTTTAGTGGGTGGGTAAAAAGAAGCATATCTAAAATGAGACCGCAAATGAACTCAAGTTACAAGATAACTCTGATTCACTGCCAGTCTTGAGGGCCACTAGCTGAAAAATTCCTAAGGCCACAAGTTTAGCAGGCAAGACAACCTGAATGATTTGTGACCGGTACCACGGGAATGGGGCAGGAGGTGGGGAAGTGAAGAAACTGCTGTGCATTTAGTCCCCTGTTTAAGGGTGACTCCCAGCTTCTGACCAGAGTGATTTGAGAGTGTTGGCACTGTGAACTATGACGAGGCACATGGGAGCAGGTATATTTTTAGGTCAGGAGAAATTGATGAGTCTAGTTTTAACCATGTTGGTTTTGAGGTGCCTGTGAGACATTCAAGAAGAGACAGTAAGTAAAATATTGACTGCTTGAGCTTACAACTCAAGAGACATCATATCTAAGGGTGTGGACTGGAGAGTCAGTAGATGAGACAGCTGAAGAGATTTTCCCATGAGAACATACACAGAGAAAAGAAGGGGGACCAGGATGGAAGCTTCAGGAATATCAAGGTTAAAGGGCAAGTCAGGACACCCACAAAGGAGGCATAAAAGGTGAACCCAGAGAGCACAGTGTCATGGACACCAGAGAAGGAAGAACTCAAGAAAAATGGACAGGTCTGGGAGGGGTCAATAGTATCAAAAGCAGCAGAGTGGTCCATTAAAACAGAGACTAAAAAACATTCTTTAAAAACTTACATAGGTTATTGGTGGGAAAAAAACTAGACTGAAGTGTGTTGACGGCATGTCAACAGTCAGCATAAACTACTCCCGCAGGAAGTCTAAATGGGAAGATGAACGATAGGGCAATGAAACGGAAAGATGCAAATAGGCCAGAAGAACCAGAGAGGCAGAAGGCCGGAGTCCAAGTGCTCAGGGCTTCACTGGCCCAGATATCAAAAGAGACGATGGCAAAAGTCTTCCTACTGGCCCTCTTTAAGAAGCCATTAGAAATACTTCCCGTTGAGGTCTAGGCTTACAGAAAGCAGATCCACGGATACATGGCCTTGGTTAGGGGATGAGCTGGTCAGAACCATGCAATCATGCTGCACTTTTTCGTTGCAAGTTTGAGTTGCTACTCTCACAGACAGTTGCCTTCTGTTCAGCCTTGTAAATGACTACTGATTACAGGACAGAAACTGTTTGCTCTACATTTTACAATAATTGCAATCTTTCACTGTGGTAACAATGAAGAAAAAGTTCTGTGAATGCTAAATTTTCATCTGCCATCATAAATTACTGCCTTGCATATGGAGAGCTTTCAAGAAAAATATGGGACTTGAAAAATACGGCCCACCTCTAACAAACAAATGTTAAAAAAGGAGAGGGAACATTTGAATCAAGAATAAGCAGTTGCACGTTTGCTTAAGGCAAAATGTAAAATGCATCTTGTGAAAGATGGGGGGCTATGAGTCACCAAGACTAATCCACAACTATTCTATTAATAATTGACATTAATACCACAGGAATTTCAGCACTGTATTTGAAGTACAATTGTTTTGAAGAAACATGTGTAGCAACAAATGAGAATGAATTACTCAGAGAAGAGCAAAACTAAGCCTTTGGGAACAAGACAGGAATAAAGGATCAGAAGCTGGAAAAATCCAGTAACCATATTTGAAATTAGATTAGTTGATTAGTTTCAGAAATCTAAACCACTATTAAGTAAATAATAATAGGTTTGAGATAGTGAGTTAAAAAATGACCTTCACAAAAGATTCTTTTGGATAAAGGAAATACTTCATTCTTTACATGCAAATTACACAAGCAATAAAAATACTCTTACATTCTGAGAAGAGCCTTATAAAAGGGCCGTGTGAAGAAGGCATCCAACAAATACTGGTGAATTAGTGCAAGACCAAGGATCCTACCACTGAACCGGAACCTGTGAAGGAAAAGCAGGAGATGGTTTACATATTTTGTAGCAGTTTCTAAATGGTTCTGTTTCCTCTCAAGAATGCCTTCCAGTTCTAACCACCTAAGTTTTTCTAAGATGAACTGCCTTCCAGGTTCATGAGAATTTGTATGCACGGCAGGCTGTGTCTTCATTAGTTGATTTTCGCATCTACTTGTAGAAGAAATCTGTGTCAATCTGATATTCAGAGAGAGACTGCTGCACCTTCCCCCCATGTCAGTGAGGTCCGGGATGCAGCACTCTACATGGCCAACATGAAATCCCTGTTGGCATGACAGTGAAATGTCCTTAGATCACTTGTAAGAAATGTCGACACAATGAGACCAGTACTGGTGGGGAAAATGTCCCCTTGTAGTTTGCGTGCATGAATATTAGCAGGATTTCTCCAGTGCAAACCTAGCAGCAACTCCCTTTTGAGGAAAAGCCCAGTCTCAGAGTGAGAAAGTTTCTAGTCCTAGTCTCTCTCAAACCCCTCTCTTAACAGTAACTGTCACCATCCAAGAATTATGCATGTGTACATTTGAGGGAGTTTCCTCATGGGACATTCTGTTCTCTAAAATTTCAGTGCTCAATTCTATCCTGAATCACTTCGGAAACTTTATTAAATATCTCTGTCATGGCTGGATTTTCTGAGATGTACATATATTTTCTTTTTCAAAAATATTCAAGTTTCTAGCCTTTTGAAAGCCTGATGCCTTCTGAAAGTGTAAATCCACACTGAGGTTCATAGTGTCCAACTGTAATTTCAGAGTTAGGCAACCATCTTAAGATGAATGCCCAGCAGCTTTGTTTTTCTTTATTTCCACTTAGGTTAGCATAACTGCAATAACTACTCTTAGGAGGACCTCTAATTGTAGTTAAACGGAAGTTAATTTGAAGAGTAAGTCCTAAACCTTAACGCCCTCCACCCACCAGTATTAACCTCATGACTCAAAGAAATTTTTTCCATGATTCCTATTCACATTCTTTTTTTTTGTTACAATAGTGAAAATGAACAGAAGCAAGCAAATGGGTCATACAGATACTTCAAGTCTATAAATGCAGACATGTAAAAAATGTCACAGAGTGCAATTTGAGGTTTTAAGAATAAATAATTCCCTGATGGGAATCCTATACCAGCTTTACTTGATTTTGTGTGAAAAATTAGGAGTGGGGCAATTCCTGGCTACAAACTTGAAACAGTGACGGCTAAGTGGCCTCTGCTGTGACCCTACACTCCTGCCTGCCTGCCAGGGTTCTCTTCCACCATCGGTTCCTCTAGGCCACTCTGTCTTCCTGTCCTCCCTCCCATTAGAAAAACCAACAGGCCCAGCTGCTCTGCCCCTCCCTACATGTGAGCCACTTCCCCAAGGACTGTTCTAGAAGCTGCCTGACCTTTGGGTCAGGATTTTGCCCTACTCACCCCCACCAGTCTCCTGTTACAGCTCAGAGTCGCCCAAAGCTTCAGACAAGGATTTAGGGTCTTGCTAAGAACCTAACATTATCTGCAACTTTCTCTCAGGAAAACCTTTTGGAGTCTACCCAACTCACTTAAAATTGGTCTTACAGAATTTAACCTATTCCTAGATTGGAGAGTGCCTGTATGTTAAATTTGATAACACAAACAAGAATCAAATGAGATATTTAACTGAAAATATGATTTTCTCCAAAAAAACCACAAAACTTTTTTTCTTTTTTAAAGTTTAGGTGCTTATAAAATCTAATATCACAGCAAATCAGCTAAAGAAAAATTTGGGGAGAAAAATACTTACCATTCATGGTGATTGTCTACAAAGGCAGACATGGGACTTATCTGTACTGTGTATGTGTCATTGGCTGAATATTCAAACAAGCCGTAATACGGGTTAAAGAGTTCTCTGGATACCAGGAAGAAAAACTCTCTGGAAGGTCCACTGTAATCCAGCCTTTAAAAAATTCACAAAAAGAGCAGTCATTATTTTTTTTCTATTTATTAGGCACATTTTACACAGTGTTCAACTTTCTGTAAAACAGGAAGTCTAATTATCAAGTTTGGTGGTGGTGGTTTAGTCACTAAGTCAGGTCCAGCTGTTTCAACCCCATGAACTGTAGCCTGCCAGGCTCTTTTGTCCATGGAATTTCCCAGGCCAGAATACCGGAGTGGGTTGCCATTTCCTTCTCCAGGGGATCTTCCCAGCCCAGGGATTGAACCCATGTCTCCTGCATTAGCAGGCAGATTCTTTACCACTGAGCCACCAGGGACATACCAGGACTGTTCAAAATACTACACATTAAATGATCACGACTCCTGATTGCAGACATGCTGTGACCCAAAACAGCATAATGAACATTTACATAGAACATATCCAAAAGCTAATTATCAGACAATGGATGAGATAGGCAATATGCTAATATTTTGATTGCATAAATATGCATCAAAAGGTAAATAACTTAAGGGCCCAGAGCCAGGCCCTGGGGAGAGAGATTGCAGTGGGAATGCCTTATTTAAGCAGGTTAAACCCAAGGGCATCAGTTAAATACATCCATGGGAACATGGAGTTCTCATGTTTTTCGAAAACAGTTTTAAATGGGGGCAAAAAGAGACTTTAGTGAATTGGTGAGAGGATATTACAGATACAAGCCCTCCTAGGGAGATCAGAGGCAAAAGATGGAATGATAGGGTTCAGATGAAAACTTTAAATTATAAAACACCAAGGAAAATTATAGACAAGAAAAGTGAGGGTGTCTAAAGCTTCCTCGGGAAGGTAGTTGAGAAGAGGCTGAAATTCTAGCACCTGAACAACAGTGTAAATTCCATTTTACTTACAAAGACAGCAGGGTCAAAGTAAAATCTGAGAAATGATTATGTGAGGTTTGAGGACTGACAAGCGGCAAACAATGCTGAGAACAAAAAGTGCACCAAAGAGGAATATGTAATACAGCAATTTGATACACTCAATTCAAAATGAAAAACGTAAAGTACATCTATCTACCCCATGGTAAAAAGTTGACATAAGGGTTCAAAGACAGGAAGGAATTCTGAAGGGAGAATGAAAGCAATGGATAAGTTGGTGACGGGATTTAATGAGACTTCCTTTGTTCACTCTATTTTTTTCCCTCTGTGGAATTTCCTTCAATGGCCACTTCTGTATTTTTTTATGACAAAGAAAAAATTCCATATGTGTGGTATGGAATTGTGTGATAGAGAAAAGGATCTTATTATAGGTAGAAGAGGGAGCTGGAATAATAGTAAGGAAAATTAAAATAGCAAGGAAAATTAAAATTAAAATTAAAATATATCAGATGTATAGAACAGACTTGTGGACTCTGTGGGAGAAGGCGAGGGTGGGATGTTTCAAGAGAACAGCATCGAAACATGTATATTATCTAGGGTGAAACAGATCACCAGCCCAGGTTGGGTGCATGAGACAAGTGCTCGCGCCTGGTGCACTGGGAAGACCCAGAGGGATCGGGTGGAGAGGGAGGTGGGAGGGGGGACCAGGACGGGGAATACATGGAAATCCATGGCTAATTCATTTCAATGTATGACAAAAACCACTGCAATGCTGTAAAGTAATTAGCCTCCAACTAATAAAAATAAATGGAAAACAAATAAAAAATAATAATAAAGTTCAAAAAAATATATATCTTAGTTGAAACTTTAACAGAATTTTCTTAAAACAGACATCAGCTATCCACATACTAAGTTCTTAATTTTTGCCATATCTGAATATATATGCACTACCATTTACTTCATATTTCCAGCTTTACTTGCTTTTCCAATGTAGCCTTGTCTTACACAATATTTTGGAATTGTGATGTGTTAGCTTTCTTTCTTTCCTAATACAGATGAAAATAAACACATAAATATCAAAATAAAAAACTATCAGTCTCTGTAACAGGCCAAGGCAGCTTCTGATGGCTTCCTTCCACTGTCCTGGTTCTGGTCTCTGACGCCACCACCACCAAGTAGAATTCTTCTTCCACTTGCACACTCTTCACACAGTTAGAGGCTTCCCTTCAACAAATATGTGAGTGCCTGTTAGGTCTGGGGTATTGATCTAGATGCTAAAGGTGTAAAGTTTTTTTTTGACGTCATTTTCCACAAGATTCTAAGTTGAGCAGCGCCTACTCCTGGTCCCGGCCCCCTCCTCACTCATGATCAACCTCCTCTCAAGGCCGGGCAGGGAGTTCCCTCGTCACGCGGGGCCTCTGCTCTGGATCTCTCCAGGTGTCAAAGTCTGACCTGAGGGTGTGTCTCTAGTGATCACAACACACAGGTGCGGTCTTGTTGGCAAAGCCTCGGGCTCCTGGCCTCTTGGTGGACACTTCTCTCCACTGCTGCCGCTCAACGCCACCCTGCCTTCTGGGCAGCCACTTTACTTTGTTGACGCCTCACAAGCCGTCACCAGCTCGAACCTTTCACCTGTATTGCTTTAAACTAGGATCCTCCCACCCCGTCTGCACGTCGCCTATCTTTTTAAAACCTAAGCACCAGACGCTAATATTAATACTTGCCACGCTAAATTTCACTTTGTGAGACTGAGTCCATGATTCCAGTCTACCTGGATCCCTGTGGACGCAAAACCTCTCTCTAAATTCCCTGCTGATGATGAATTACATCAGCACACCCCTATGTCTTTTCAGAAACAGAGAATGCCAATCAAAAGTATCTTAGCAGTCATTTTGTCCATCCCCTCACCTCACTGAGGAGATGACTGGGGCTGAAGGAAATCAGTGATTTGTATCAGATGAAAGCTGCAGTGGAGGATCCAGGCCTTGACACAGGTTTCTTGACCCCATGTGTGATGTTCATTACTCTTTACAGGCCACTCTTCAACGTATTTAAAACGTCCATCAGGACTAAACACAACATTGCTTACAGAGGAGAGGTCGGAAAACTGGGACCTGCAGGCCAAATCTGGACCAGGCCCTAGCTTTGTAAAAAAGTTTTACTGGAACACAGCCACGCTCATTTGTTTATGTGTTGTCTGGGGCTGTTATGATGGCAAAGTAGGTAGGTACAACAGGGAATGGCCTGAAAAGCTGAAAATACTTACCATTGGCTCTTTACAGAAAAAGTTTGCCAACCTCTGTTACAGAAGCAAGTAGGAGGAAAATGTTACTTTATTAAAAAACCTAGCTTACTCTAAATCCTCTTTAGTGAAGATCATTTCAAGAAACCGTAAAATCACAATATCCTAGGGTGTATGAAATCTTCAGGAGTGGTCACACTGCTAAGCAGGAAGCCACGAGCCCTGGCCTGGAGGTATTCAGGTCTAGGAGGAAAACGCATCTTCCTCAACTGGTCAGGCTTTTATCTGCTCTTTTTCTTTTCTTTTTTAAACTCCAGCAGCACTGATAGAGTTACTCTAACGTGAAGACATTTTTAAAGTTTGATTTGATTATAATCTGAAATTTAGAACCACATATCTGAGAGCAGGTTGTTGATTACAAATTACATATGTCTACCTAATTCAATAAGACGTGTCCCAGCAGGATACCTTATGCATGCACTTCCTGTAATGTCTTAGCAACCTCTTCCATATAAATAGTTAATATGACTCATATCACAGGGATCATTTGTTACATTCCTGTTTTGCCAGTTAGGTTGGTTCCACAGCTAAAGACTTGGCACGGAAATACAGAAACTCCGGACAACGGGTGTGTAGCCACACAACAGCTGCATCTGAGGACATTTTGGAAAAAGCACAGATGTCTTTAGGGTGGTAATGTCTTTTTGAGCCCCATGAAGTGCTGATAAGGCATTTTAAACACTATCATGTTGCTGGGCTGACACCACCCAAGTTGTTAGAGGCATCCAATATTTGTTAAATAATTTTATTTTCTGGTTCTTTATGTTCAACTAAAAATTATCAAAAACAAAGCATCCCAAAGGAAGCAGACTATAAAACGAAAGAGGACAGTGGCACTGGGAAGTCTGACTGTCATTTCCTACATGTTTTCTGGAAGACAGGTCTTCTTTCTTACAAGTTGGTTCAGGCACACGTGGTCTACACGTACCTTCTGATTCACTCTTACATTTATAGCAGCACGGCATTAGTTCTTGAGCCACTCAAGAAGTGATAGGTGAGTAGGGAATTTTGTGAGCAATTACTATGACAAAGTTTAACCTGGAGATACCAAGCCAAAGCCTAGAAATTAGAAGCACCTTTCTTCAACATGGTTTGGGTCAGTCAGGTTATCCTGCAAATGTCTCTCTTTAGAAGAAAACAAGCAACACCTTAGTTTCACTTGAAGCTTTACAAATATCTGAGGAAACACTGGTCAAGGCCAGGACCCAAAATAACTTCTAGACCAGTCAGATGTAAAAGCTGCTGGCTATTTTATAAGCAGGGACTCAAGAAAACCTTTCAGATCTCATCCCCACTAGTTTCTTGCATTTGTCTAAGTAGAAATATCATAGGAAGAGCTCACCTGTATTTAAATCCCCAAACTAAAACTGTTTGCACGCATCCTCTCCCAAGTATGGCTTTGCAAGACGGATGACTATGTCATATAGAAGGCACCTTACATATAATGAACTCATTCTTTCTTAAAGAAAGGTGCCTTTTATAGAGTTGGCCATGGAGGGAAAAAAAAAAAAAAAGAGGCAATCACAGTGTAAACATCCTCTCTTGATCCAGGCCATTATTTCCTTACTTGTTTTGGGTACTAAGAAGTGAATATAAACCTGAAACTAACACACTATTATAAATCAACTCTACTTTAATAAAAAGAAAAATAAGTGAATGGCCCAGGATGTCCTAGCTGAACACAATAGTCTACGCAGCTAACTTCTGACACCAACAAGCTTTAGTTGCTAAAACTTTTAATTCAGAAGAAAATAATACACTGAAGAATATGCAGTACTTGTGGCTTCCTCTTAAAGAAGTGACGTCTAGGCAGACAGAAGCCCAGGAGGCAAGCAGACCATGCCACTTCC